GGATTCACCAACAAAACCTAAGAGTACAAAATGCTGCCATGATAAGACACTTAAAATATTTTATAAACTTTATAAACTGTAAAATATATATCATCTAAAAATACTCTTTTTAGAATGGCCAAAGGACTGTATAATTTCTGAAAGTTTCATCTAAATAATTTACTATAATGGTCCAACAAATAAATCTTTAGATAATCAAATTTAGTTTCCTAAAACAATTCAATTTCTAAAAAGCTAAAGTGTTAAGCTCTCCTTAAAATAATAAACACATTTAAAGATCCATGTTCTCTTCCTTACTATTTGCCAGTTATAAAATTCATTTTAAAAATATATTTTTAAATCCATTACCAAACAAAGCCAGTTCTTTCACCATCATTTAAATATATTCCTACCTCCTTACCTCTACTTAGGCCATTGTTTCAACTTCTAATCCCTTTACCCAGCTCCTCACTATTCCAACTCAAATCCCATCCCTCACTCTTATCTTCTCTGAGTATGGAAAATGAGGCAAATTTTTTAAAACCTTGTCAGTTGGGGGTGGTGTGGGGTTTACAGCACTCTTATGTGTAACTACCGCGGGAGCAGAAATGTAAGCAATCAGAAGTTGTATGCTTTAAAAAAATCCTGAATTTTAAATTTTATTATCTGTATTAACTGCAGTATTCCAGATTTACTGTTTAGTAGCCTAAATCTTCACATAAGTTTTAAATGTATTAAAAATTTAGGGATTACGAGACCATATATTTTAGAAAATGAACCCAATATGAAATTTAAAAAATTAAACACCCTTAATCAAATAATTCTATCTACTATTCCAAACTGCTTACAAAGAAATTCAGTGGAAATGATCCTGTGAATTAATATCTACCCTTTCTAAAAGATAACCAACTGGAAAAAGAAATTAGGACTTTCCTGTTACCTTTCTTACCACGTGAAAAATGCAGATTGTTCATTCTAAAAATAAATATAAGCTTTTGAATATATTTTTATAATATGGATATTATGTGAATCACTAGGTTTGGAATAAATACCATTAAATGGAGAGTCAAAGTCAATATGATAGAAATATAAATCCAAATTCATATTTCAAAAGGCACTTAGTGCTTGCTTCGACAGCACATATACTAAAATTGGAATGATACAAAGAAGATTAGCATGACCCCTGCTCAAGAATGACATGCAAATTCATAAAGCATTCCATTTTTTTTAAGGGACTTCTTCACAAAGAAAACACAGCAGGGGTCTTAAAAATGTTTAAAATGATGAATACAAGCACCTCTTGGCTACAAGAGAGAATTTTCCATTACAAAACTGGAACGTTAGATACAAAATTATTAGTAATGGTTGTTACCTATTACCATTTACGGGTAATGTACATGAGCACAAACAGCTTTTTTTAAATTAGAATTTAAAATTCCCATTTCCTCACTCTTTCCATCTTTTCTTTTTTTTTTAATACGTATTTAATTATTATTATTATTATTATACTTTTAAGTTCTAGGGTACATGTGCACAGTGTGCAGGTTTGTTACATATGTATACATGTGCCATGTTGGTGTGCTGCACACATTAACTCTTCATTTACATTAGGTATATCTCCTAATGCTATCCCTCCCCGCTCCCCCCACCCCACGACAGGCCCCAGTGTGTGATGTTCCCCACCCTGTGCCCAAGTGTTCTCATTGTTCAATTCCCACCTATGAGTGAGAACATGCAGTGTTTGGTTTTCTATCCTTGCAACAGTTTGCTCAGAATGATGGTTTCTAGCTTCATCCATGTCCCTACAAAGGACATGAACTCTTCCTTTTTTATGAAGGCATAGTATTCCATGGTGTATATGTGCCACACTTTCTCAATCCAGTCTATCATTAATGGACATTTGGGTTGGTTCCAAGTCTTTGCTATTGTGAATAGTGCTGCAATAAACATACGTGTGCATGTGTCTTTATAGCAGCATGATTTGTAATCCTTTGGGTATATGCCCAGTAATGGGATGGCTGGGTCAAAAGGTATTTCTAGTTCTAGATCCTTGAAGAATCACCACACTGTCTTCCACAATGGTTGAACTAGTTTACAATCCCACCAACAGTGTAAAAGTGTTCCTGTTTCTCCACATCCTCTCCAGCACCTGTTGTTTCCTGACTTTTTAATGATCACCATTCTAACTGCTGTGAGATGGTATCTCATTGTGGTTTTAATTTACATTTCTCTGATGGCCAGTGATGATGAGCATTTTTTCGTGTGTCTGTTGGCTGCATAAATGTCTTCTTTTGAGAAGTGTGTGTTCATATCCTTCGCCCACTTTTTGATGGGGTTGTTTGATTTTTTTCTTGTAAATTTGTTTAAGTTCTTTGTAGATTCTGGATATTAGCCCTTTGTCAGATGGGTAGATTGTAAAAATTTTTCCCCATTCTGTAGGTTACCTGTTCACTCTGATGGTAGTTTCTTTTGCTGTGCAGACGCTCTTTAGTTTAATTAGATCCAATTTATCAATTTTGGCTTCTGTTGCCATTGCTTTTGGTGTTTTAGTCATGAAGTCCTTGCCCATGCCTATGTCCTGAATGGTATTGCCTAGGTTTTCTTCTAGGGTTTTCATGGTTTTAGGTCTAACATTTAAGTCTTTAATCCATCTTGAATTAATTTTTGTATAAGGTGTAAGGAAGGGATCCAGTTTCAGCTTTCTACATATGGCTAGCCAGTTTTCCCAGCAACGTTTATTAAATAGGGAATCCTTTCTCCATTTCTTGTTTTTGTCAGATTTGTCAAAAATCAGATGGTTGTAGATGTCTGGTATTATTTCTGAGGGCTCTATTTGCACAAACAGTTCTTTAAAAATTCTCCGATAAAATTATACTATAGAATTATATCTGATAATTCTATTCTTTGTTTTAAAATTTGACTATAATTTAAAATTTTTACTTTACATTTTAATATAAGAACTTTGAATCTAAAAGACAAACACAAAAACAGCTATCTATACTACTGTGCAATAAAGAAACTAAATCATCTTCCCTCCCCAACCTTTTAATCTGGAACCATTCCTTGCCTGTTTTGACTTTTAGGACATTGAACATTTTTCAGGAGTCCAGGTCGTTGTCTAACAGAATATCACACATTCTAGATGAGTCTGATTGTTATTGTTAAACATTTTTAGTAAGAGTACTACATTGGTAATGCTGTAGTACTCTTAGTAAACCTGTTGTAGCACTCTTACCCTGCAGAGGTAAACCCTCATTGAATCACATCAGCATTCACATCATGTAAGTTCCTCCCACTATTGATAATTCTGTTGTATGAGTTGGTTAATGGAGCAAATGCCAGATCTCATCATTGTAAAGGTACATTATTTTTTCCCATTTGTAATCAGAAGTAATCTATGAAGCGAACCTTTGGCATTATGTAAACAAAATGGGTTCCTTTAAAATTTGTTTATGTGCTTTGTCTGAGAAGGATTACTTCTTAATCATGGGAAATCTGAACTTCTCAGACATTCCCACTAGACATGCTAAATTTTTCAAAGGCCATCATTTAAGGTAGCGTCTGCCAAATCTCTCCATTTTAAGTGTATTTTTTTCTTTTGTAATTAATAAGCAACACATGAGGCCATGTGAATATCCTGTTCCTCAAAAACTTTCCACTCAGTGTTTTTTTACAATTACAGTCTTTTAATTATAACGTAATTGTGTGCCCATGCTAAAGCTTCCAATTTAAAGAACTACGAAAGTCTCTTCCTTATCCTACTCCAGACTCCAACTCACAATTTTGTAACATACTTTATGTACACTCTGTTAACCACTCCTTGTGCATCCTTCTGGAAGTTTTCAATGTATAAACAAACATATATGTATTTCTTGTCTTCTTACCACAAATGGGATCACAGTACATATATTGTCTTATAACTTTATTTTTTTTCACTTAATATATCCTGCACGTCTTTCCTATCAGTAGGTACACATTCATCTCATTGTTTTTAATAACTAAAGAGTATCCTACTTACCATTATTTCATTAGTCTTTTTAAGTATACATCACTCTGTTCGTTCACAGTTTTATACAATTTCCAACAATGTTACATTAAACATCCTTGTACATATAACTGTTCATGTTTTATGTGAATACACTTGAGTAAAATTTCTAGAAACATAACTGCTGGGTCCAAATGCATGTGTAATTTCTTTTCTTTGGATAAATACTGCCAAACTTTCTTTTTAAATTGCATTAATTTCTGCTGCCATCAATAGCAATGCTGTTTCCTCATCTCTACTTCCTCATCAACACTGGACATTAGCAAATTCTTTAATCTTTGCCAATCTGAGAGGTAAAAGAAAAATAGCAGCTCACAGTCTTTTAATTTTTATTTTTGTAAATAAGAAAGTCAAGCATCTTTTCCTGAAATTATTGAATATTTGAAATACTTTATGAATTGCTTATTTATAGGCTCTATCCTTTTTCTATTAAATATTCCTAAGAATAATATTTTAAACAATGTATTTGAAGAAGTGTAAAACAAGTTTCATTAAAATATTCATAAAACATTATGTTAGTTGGTAATTTCTACCTAAGATACTCTTCCACCAGAGAAAAATCTATAGTTTCTGCGAGTGTATACTTTCACTACCTTTAATACCCCTTTACCCAAGTGACCTATAGATTGAAAATACTTTCATAAATGTGCTAGAGAATTTCCTATATCAAATCTCCTTAATTCATTTTTTAAGAAATCAAATTTCCATAGGCAAATAGTAGGAAACAATTTAAAATTATGAAATCAGCATATTGATCTTTAACATTTTAGAACCATTAATTCATCTAGGATTTCTCATTTAGTACGAAACCAAGAAGACATTTCCAAGAACAGTGAAACTAAAAATCTAAATTAAATCTGTCTAGAGAGAGCACAGTACTTTTACTGTTATATGAGCTACTCTCTTTCTACTTAAAAAGTCAATCTTGTATATACCTGGAGTACACAGTCATGGGCTAGAGTGTGATAAAACTTGCCTGATCAATGTAAAAAGCTGTGCCTGCACGGATCTCTCGTCGCTGTTTGAGATCAGTTTCAGTGGTGTCCCTTGAAAGGGCAATGTATTCGACCTCCCGTTTGGTCAGCTCCTGTAGAGAAGAGAATGAAATTATTCCAAAAATAAAATCAAATTTCCAGCATATGATTTGGAACAAGTTATCTGACAATGCCACTGCCCTTGAGAAGTGCATTTTTAAACCTAATTCTGGATTGAAACTTGTTGAGTCTAAGCTTTGAGAAAAAATAAATAAATTGAACGTTAATCAAAATATCTATATATTCTCCTCAGAGCTCTTCTTCTATGGCACTCAATCCTACTATTTAAGCAATAATAATCAAAATTCAATTTTACAAACCTTAATTTTTCCTGTAGATTTCCAAATATAATGAGCAATAATTTGACAGTATTACTATTTTGTTTGCCCACAAACTATAGCCATTTCTATAAGTAATGTTCATCTTTTTTAAAGGGGTGATTTAGATTAATTTATTCCATGGATCAATGTTTGCCAAGTGTATACAGTATGTCAGGTACTTTACCAAATGTGAAAACAAGGTAAAAATACCAATAATCAGCCGGGCGTGGTGGCTCACACCTGTAATCCCAGCACTTTGGTAGGCCGAAGTGGGCAGATCACTTGAGGTCAGAAGTTCAAGACCAGCCTGGCCAACATGGTGAAACCCTGTCTCTACTAAAAATACAAAAATTAGCCAGGTATGGTGGTGCGTGCCTGTAGTCCCCGCTACTCAAGAGGCTGAGGCAGGAGAATTGCTTGAACCCAGGAGGTGGAGGTTGAGGTTGCAGTAAGCCGAGATCACACCATTGTACTCCAGTCTGGGCAACAAAGCAAGACTCCAAGTCAAGAAAAAAACAAAAACAAAAACAATAATCAGGTAAACAGAAGGTAAACACACATGCATAGTTGTAGGAGAAGTAAAACGAGGATTTAAAAAAAGGAGAGGAAGGAGGTGAAGAAAAAGGAGGAGGGAAAGGAAGGAGGAGAAGGAGCAGGAGGAGGAGAAAAAAAATCAAAAAATCATGAGATTTGAAGGGGAAATTATGCAGAATTCTTCTGTTTCAAGACAATTTATCCATCCTTAAAAGTCTTTTGCCCTATAATCATGTACAAAAAGTTTTTAACGTTATCTTTGGTTTTACAATGTTGAAGTAAAACCAATGACATTCTCTAATCAAATAAGGCACACAATAAGTTTTTACTAAACATGGTGAACAAACTGATTCACTGAAGCGTAACAGAAAATGGGAATGAACACGCCATTAATGGCAAAAAGGGATATTGCCATACAAGGGGATTTTTTTCTCCATCCTATCTCCATATGCTACTGATAAAAACATATTGTTGTAATTTACATCTTCTTTAATGTGCTTGTCCCCATGTTACATAACTTTATGTATATAAAGGAGGAAAAAAATTTTTTCTTTTTTTTTTGAGACAGTCTTACTCTGTCACCCAGACTGTTGTGCAGTGGTGTGATCTCAGCTCACTGCAACCTCTAGCTTCCCAGGTTCAAGCAATTCTCGTGCCTCAGTCTCCAGAGTGGCTGGGACTACAGGCATGTGCCACCATGCCTGGCTAATTTTTGTATTTTTTAGTACAGACGGGATTTCACCATGTTGGCCAGACTGATCTCGAACTCCTGACCTCAAGTGATCTGCCCACCTTGGCCTCCGAAAGTGTTGGGATCACAGGCATGAGCCACTGCACCCAGCCTAAAAGGAGGAAACATTTTTAAATAGAGAAAATACAGAGCAGTGGCAAAGACGTGGTGATACCAAAGGATGTTTCCCTAAAAACAAATGAATTGGCTGAGAGAGCACAATTTTGGAGTAGAGTAGCAATGTCTCTTGTTGACAGGTCTTTACTTCTTGCTTCTGGAACACATCACTAGTATCTTCATGTCTGCTTCATTGACTGGCTGGATGTGATCTCCCTCAAAGAAAAACCCTGTCATTTACAATAGGCTTCCATTGGTTGACAAAGTTACATATGTCTCTTACTGTTAAATTGCACAGAGTTACACCCTGAACTGCTACATGATCATTATCCTCAGCTTCCTTTGCTTCCTTTGCTCTTCATCAGCCAATGACAAGCACCAAAGTCTCCTCAGGTGCTGATTCACAAAAGAGGCATGAGTTCATTCACAAACAGCCCCAGGAGCAGCAGATGGAGGAGGGAGGAGTGGTATGATTTTTTTGAACAAACTACCAAAGTCCTTTTATATGAGTTAAGTACAAAATAAACACAACTATGAAATTATTCCTATTTATTTTCTCATAGTTTAACATGCTTGCCCCAAATTTTCTGCCTTTAAACCTCTCATCCACTCTGGCTATCACTATACATAGGCTGTTATTCTTAGGGGCAATAGTACTCACTGCAGTGTGCAAGGTGGCGTAGGCTAGTATTAAGTTTTCTTATGTGTATCCACAGCTTAAGGTTGCCTCAGCTCCATTCCACAATTTAAAGTGAGAGTGTTGTTGGTTTCTTCTTTAAAGACACAGGTTTCACACTTACAAACCTATGTTGCATTTTTTAACCAACAAGGCTTCTCATAATCTCTTAGTCCCTCTCATTTCACATTCTCAATAAGCTCAAAGCCTTGCCAAAAACAAAATCTTAGCGGGATATTGTGGTCTTTGAAATAAGCAAGGTAGCAAGTGCACATCTTAAAATTAAAAAGGCTTGGCTGGGCACGGTGGCTGTAATCCCAGCACTCTGGGAGGCGGAGGCAGGCAGATCATGAGGTCAGGAGTTGGAGACCAGCCTGCCCAAAATGGTGAAACTCATTTCTACTAAAAACATGAAAAATTAACCAGGTGTGGTGGCACACACCAGTAGTCCCAGCTACTTGGGAAGCTGAGGCAGGAGAATCACTTGAACCCAGGAGGGAAAGGTTGCAGTGAGCCAAGATCAAGCCACTGTACTGCAGCCTGGGTGACAGAGCGAGACCCCAACTCAAAAAAAAAAAAGAAAAAAGAAAAAAGGCTCTAGATCTGTAATTCTCAGTACCTGATTCAGCATTCTTAGATAAGACACTTTTATCTTATATATTCATAAAGTGAGGATGGCTCTACAGTGGCACGTTTTACCTCACAAACTAGTTCTAGTGATAAATAAAAGATACGAAAGCAATGAGCTAGTGCAAGTTAGGCTCTGATTTATTCATGTATTTATTATTTCTGCCCCACATGATTTTTGAAGTACCAAAGAAGACTCACCACTGAAATAAAAGAGCGTACAAGGTAGATTTCAGTAGCATAGAAATCAATCATTTCATAGCAAATAATACAAGGAACTTAAGTTTAAATAAGGTTTTTCTCTTCATCCTAAAAAACGTCTTCAGAACACAGCTTCATCTGGTGGCATTCTTCCATTAATCATCAGGGTAATGCCTACTAATACTGACAAAATAGTGGAAAACACTTGTACATTTTCTTTTTTTATTGTTTGTTTGGTTTTTGTTTGTTTGTTTTTTGAGATGGAGTCTCACTCTGTCGCCCAGGCTGAAGTGCAGTGGCACGATCTTGGCTCACTGCAATGTCCACCTCCCAACTTCAAGTAATTTTCCTGCCTCAGCCTCCTGAGTAGCTGGAATTACAGGCACCCAGCACCATGCCCTGCTAATTTTTATATTTTTAGTAGAGCCGAGGTTTCACGATGTTGGCCAGGCTGGTCTCAAACTCCTGACCTCAGGTGATCCACCCACCTCAGCCTCCCAAAGTGCTGGGATTACAGGTATGAGCCACTGTGCCTGGCCACGACTTGCAAATTGTCTTATTTGTCTTAAGATTTCAGCTTCAATTCACTTAACAACAGTTCTCAAAGAACTGTAAATGTTTAAGAGGACAACATGTCAGAAAGGGGAAACACGGGATTTCAACTTTAGCTCTATTATTTACCAGCTGGATAAAGCTTGAGTGAGTTATTTAACCTCTGTGAACTTGTTTTCTCATCTATTTAAAGAAAACACAAAGAGATATGTAACACAGAAGACATACTCTACAGACCTTAGGCTTCCTTTAAAGACTGCACAACTTCCAAAAGTCAAGGGAATTGTCTGGCGTTTTAAAATGTGAGCCTGAGATAAGGGAATGTTCACTAAGCAGTATAATACCAACTTTTGTTTTGTTAACTTCAGACTTGCTGATTCTATCTGCTACTCATTGCCTGAATTTATATCTCTTTTCTACTGGAAGTGGGGTACTTTCTAGTCACAGTAAAAATTTGCTAAAGCTATGAAAGGTAAATATACATTTGACTCCCAAATAACTTATGCCAAACACTTTATAAACAAATCACTCTTTGATGTCAGCATTTGTTTCAAATAATGACTAATTCTGATATTTTTTATAAATTCTTAATCTTATTTTATTTCATAGCTTACAAAGTTCAGACCCTTAGAAATTGACAAGAATTAACTGCTCACCAAGTACTGCATAGCAATAGAGCGTCGAAGAGGCCCAGGAGGTCCTATTAGAAAGACATCTTGCCCCAAAAGATCCTTCTGCATTATCCATCTTAGATGCTGAACTACAGATTGAGCCAGGGAGTCTGAAACTATAAAGAGAAAAGAGAAAATGAAGTGCAAATTTAAGTATTACTTATAATATAAATCTCCAAGTAATGTGAGCATATTTATATATACGTATATATAAATGCATATAAAATATATGTCTATCTGTGTATGTATTTATAAACATATGTATATAAATAGATATAAACATATACATATGTTTATCTGGACAAACATATAGACGCCTGGTGAATTTTCACATAGTTTACAATAAAACCATTATTGTCGATGCTAAAACAAGATTAAGTTTATGATATCACAAAGAATTATATATTCCTTACTTCAAAGCTTTCCATAACATTTGAATAATAACCTATAACTGTTCCTAAAGAAATAAAAGTTATTGTCAAGGATGATTTGAGGAACTGATTTGATTACTTCAATCACAATTTTATAGTCCAATCTTTTTGTTCTAAAAGAGAGATAAGACGAAATCATCCCGGATAGTTAATGATTATTACAGTCTTAGAAAATCTGAGGAAAGCATACTACAACTTAAGTTGGTAATGGGTTGTAAGATCATGGTTAGAAAATTTGATGTAGACTTAAAACTACTTCCTCAGAATTAACTATTTAAGTCTATTTTATACCAAACTCTTTTGTGAATAGAAGACCACCCCACGCAATGCCCTTCCAAGTCTACTATTAAATCACCCCATCAGTGTGCTCATCTTCTAACTAAGCATTTTCTAAAACGTTTAAATTAATATAATTAGTTTGTTTTTGCTCATATGTAAATCACCCAGTGAGTCCATTCCTGGGTGTAAAAGAAAAACTCATAACCTTGTACATCAGGAGACACATAGAAAACTCAGAGCAGAATGGTCCAAAATAAAACTGGAGAGAGGACAATGAATAAATACACAGAATGGAATATTATACGCAACAAAAACAGAATAAAAGACCCCCACTTCCAATGATATGTTTAACACTTAAAGGTGTAATATTGAGTGAAAAAAAAGAATAAATCATGTATAATATAATACCATTTTGATAAATCTCAGTAAACTAGCAAATGAATTCTTTAGAAATAGATACATATGTGATAAAACAGTACTTGAAAAAGCAAAATGGCAAGGGAATGGTAAGTTGATGATAATTGGATACCTGGGGGTAAGGAGTGGCCATGGAATCAAAGAGATTCTCATGTATAGCTTCAAGGATATTGGTAATATTGTAGTTCTTACATTAGATGTGGGTTACAGTGTTTGTTTTATTATGTTGCATTTTATACAAACAGACACAGACATCTATATTACATAACATCTTTTGTATGTAGTAAATACTCCATACGTGTTAAATTTTGTTTAATCACCCACTGAGGTCACAGATAAGTTCCAAGATCCAACTAAGCAAGCCTAGGACTAAATATCTAGTGCTTCTCCTCCTCTGACAGCACAATATCGTTAGGGTAGTCTCTCCTATACTCCCCTACCCCAAAGAAAGCAAACATTTAATCATTGGAAGAGATAATTTCTGATTTTCATTACCCTGGTAGGAAGATCAAGGACAAGGTTTTGGGCAAATTGTTTGGTTTGTCATGTCACTGGGGTCACACTAAAGCATATTACAATCTCCCCAGAACGAATGCCCATATGTCTGAGACTAATTACTCAGTAGAACTGTTTGGTTTCTCTCTTGTTTTTACAAATCCTCTAAGACATGCATCCCTAGTGGGATAAAATCCCTAAGACATGCATCCCTCGTGGGATAAAAGTTGGTTCCTGGAAGGGGGACTTGAAAAAAATGTTTAGATGTTACAATAGTTTGTGGTCCTCGGCCAGGCACGGTGGCTCACACCTGTAATCCCAGCACTTTGGGAGGCCGAGGCAGGTGGATCACCTGAGGTCAGGAGTTCAAGACCAGCCTGGCCAACATGAAGAAGCCTGTAGTCCCAGCTACTCGGGAGGCTGAGGCTGAAGAATCACTTGAACCCAGGAGGCGGAGGTTGCAGTGAGCCAAGATCACGCCACTTCACTCCAGCCTGGGCGACAGAGTGAGACTCCATCTCTAAAAGGGCACAGTACATAAACAGATATATAACATATCTATAGTATTCAAATTTCATGGGGTTAAGAAGGAATAATGATAGGGAGAAAACACCCACAGGAGAGTAATAAAGAAAAACAGATTGAAAAATACTGCTCTAAGACCTATACTTTTGAGCAATCTATTAGGTAGTTTCATGATGCTAGTATGCAACTGGCCTGAGTCTAGAGAGTTAATCTATAACTATCACATGCCCTTTTATCTATTTTCTTTTCTGCTTGAAGCTTAAATCAATCTTTATAACATACAGTCTATGATTTCTTGCTTCAAGACAAGTCAGCCTCCTTGCTGCTTAAGGATGAAACAAAATAAGAGTTAAGATGCCTTAACTTCTTTATTAGTAAAACTACACAATGTTCCCCATGCTGCAAATCTATTACCTCTTCCTATTCTGATATCAAACATATAATTAAAAACTTAAACACTTCGGGTTTTTTCTTTACATTTTCATAAATCTCAGCTTAGTTTGGCCACAGGCATTCTCTGTAGTACTCTCACAGTTTTGTGTCACTTTGTATTCAACTTTGGCGATGTGCCTGACCTTCCATTACCTGGACTTGATAATTTAAAATCCAAAATTTGTAAAGTTCTAGAAGGTAAAGCCAAGTTGGTTTCTTTAACTTCCTCCCACCTTTTATTATTTATAACTATTGGTAACTATTTATAATTATGGAGTCTCAGTTTAGTTCTATACTTCCAGTTCGTTTTGAATGTTTTGACCTTGGAACCATATTCATTTTCAAGATTTTTTAAAATTTAAGGTAGCAGTTCCTAATCAAATGTGAGGCCTGCCCCTCATAAATTTTCTGTATAATAAAGTGCTGATGTTTAGGAATAACTTATCTTTTCATTTTTTGAAGCAAACTGGAGCAGAAGTGAAGTTATAGCCATCATAATAGAGCCATTTATACACCAGAGTACTTTCTTAAATAGAAGAGAAAAGCATGGATTATTTAAAGCTAGAGCCCTGGGAATTATGCACCATCTTGTTTATGCTCATGGGAGTGTCTTCCACTTCAGCGTGATGCACATGTACTGAGAAACACTGCCCTAAGGCACATCTGACTAGTCTCAGTCCTTCCTTTATTCTTACCACTCAACAGTGGTTCTCAACTGGTGACCATACTGCTACCACTCTAGGCCTGCCAGGAGGCATTTGGAAAATGTCTGGGAGTACTTTGGGTTGTTGCAAAGCCTTGGGGAATGAGAAATAATTTGAAACACCACTGATATTTTGTGATGGTAAATGCAATGACCAAGACAGTCTCATCCTGCCCAGTATGTCAATGGCAGCATAGCTGAGAAATACTGTGTAGTCATTATTTTTTCTCAAGGCCTCTGTTGCCTGCACACCACTAATGAGTTTGTCACAATTAAGCCCAGAGAAAGAGTTTCTCTCTATTTCCTTTACTTTCTGAAAGATAAAACTTTTAGGGAGGAAATCAGTGGAAAATAAGTTATACCTTTAGATTAAGCCTGTAGGAGTTGTAAGGATATCTAAGGTTCTCATCACATTCCAATTTTACATAAGTTTTTTAATACATATAAGCTACCTCTGAATCCTATGGCTGGCCTGGTAGTCTATGGCATATCTTCACGAAGAACACATATTTTCCCTGCTTTTATTCTCCCCCAATAACAATACTAATAATGGTCATAATTTATTGCATTTCTATCAATTAACAGGTAAACATACAAATGATTTTTCATATAGAATCTCATAACAATTCTAGAAAGCAGCAGATCTATTGTATAAGGACACAGATTCGAGACAGATCGGCTGGGTTCAAATTCCAACTCTACAGAATTTACTAGCGATGTAAGCTTAATCAAGTTACTTAACCTCTCTGCTCAGTTTCTTCATCTGTATGATAGATATAATTGTACTTACTTATAAAGTTGTTATGAGGATTATATTAAACACTTAGAACACTGTCTAATAATAGTAACTGCTGCGTTTATTAAATACTCATTACTCCCATTTTACAATAAGAAAATCAAAATTGGAAATGTAGTATCATTTGTCTATAGTTGGTAAGTCCATAAACCAAGAGTTACACCTAAGCCGTTTAAGTCCAAAACTTGTATTTCAGTCATTATACTCTACAGACCCGTCAAAAGCTTTTCAACAGGTGTCCAGCTTCAGGTGCAAGATTTTCCCTACAAGTGTGGACCTCTCAGGGCTACATCAAATTTAGTGGACTTGCTGTTCCAGCCAATAGTTCTACTTCTTTTTGGTGGTATCAATGATATGTTTTATTCCTTTTATTAAAATTTCAAATTTATTTTGTAGTGAATATTGTTATCGGAGGATCTCCTTCTCAAAGAAAATCCAACTTTCACTTATTCATGTTTTAGTATGGTGTATTTTGTCAAAAAGCATGTCTGTATTTAATGTGTCAGGAAATTGCATTAAACTACTGAAAGAAAGCATCATGCAGTGCTATGTGGTATCTGTGGTATATTTTACATTAACGCTTGAAACTAGCTGTATTTTTAGAATGGCCTCAAGAAAACATGAGTCATACTTAAAAGCATGCCAGAAATAGAAACAAGATTTAAGACTGTACATTACGAACATCTGCAAAACAAAGTGCCAAACTGCCATACATAACCTAATATAAACATAGCAGAGTACACGAGAGAAATCCCCAGCTTCAATGTTTGCAGGCACAAGATGCTACCTTCCAGGAGTCCACATAATAATACACTGACGTCAAAACAATCCCGAAGAGCTTGATCCTATATTCTAAGATTCCTTTTCTAGGTAAAGATAAAAACACGTAGTTCATGTTGGCCTAAATCCCGGACTCAATTCCTAACCAATATTTGTTTTCAAAAAATATGTACTATTTTTTGCCCGGCCACATTCAAAGGCTTTAAAGTAATTTTATCACAGTTACCTAAATTACAATTTTCTCCCTTCATGAACTCA